CAGCATCACCACCACCATCACCATGGCCACCATCAACATCATCACCACCACCATCACCATCACCATGGCCACCATCAGCATCACCACCACCATCATCATCACCACCATCAGCATCATCACCACCATTACTACACCACCACCATCACCGCCACCACCACCATTACTACCACCACCACCATCACCGTGGCCACCATCAACATCACCATCAATACCATCACCACCACCATCAGCAGCAGCAGCATTATGGTCATCACAATCCATCGCACAGTCTTTGATGTGCCTGTGGTTGACCAGCCCTCTCTGGCTAAGTGTGGCGCCCAGGGCCCTTGGGCAAGAATGACTCAACCTCATTTGTTCACTTAAAAGTCAGTTTTCCAGAGCAGTGAGGACTTCCCGGAGTAAACACACAGTAAATCTGCACAGACGGCTCCAGCCTCCAGCCACGTGGGCATTTAGGAACGGGCGCTGACACACTTGTCTAAGTCCACAAAGAGCTGTCACCCTCAGTCACGTGTTCCCGGAGGATGAAACAAGAGCTGACGGTGAAGGACGGCCCCTGGCACTAACCCAGCGGGCGGGCCTCCACCCAGCCCCTTCCCTGGTGTTCCTCTGCCTTCTCCTCGTTCAAATAAGGAGAATTCTTGCGCACGGCTCGAACGCATACCTGAGGGGAGACTCAACGCGTCGGAGCCGAGCCACGGGCCGAGCCACGGCTTCTGCTGAGGTTCTGTCTACGCCACGCGCCCCCGGCGGCATCTGCAGAAGCAACCTGACACTTGTGACGTGCGGCTTTGCGGGAGGGTCAGTGGAGGGTCAGCGGATTCTGCGGGCGGCGAAGTTGCCGACCGCAGACGGTCTAAAACGCGAGCGTGAGATGGGGGAGCTTGGGGGGGTCCTCCTGGAACCCCAGCATCCACAGTTTGAAGATATATGCACACAAAGTTTCATGTCCAGCAAACACCTTCCGATACACGTGTGTCTCACGCCAAGACGTGACACGTTATCCGCTCTGTTTCCACGATAGGCAATTGTAGGCCTAAGTTTGCAAACTCAAGACGGGCTCCGGGAGGTAGAGAAGCTCCCACGTTCTTGTCTACCGAATCCGGACACGCGGCGTGCGGCTGCTCCGAGCGATCCGCTCCGCAGACGGCACACTCAACACTCTACGGCACACTCAACACGCTA